ATATACATATATATTCATTTTCATATTTTTTTCCATTATAGGTTGCTGCAAGGTATTGAATATAGTTCCCTATGCTATCCAGTAGAAACTTGTTGTTTATTTTATATATAGTAGTTAGTATCTGCAAATCTCAAACTTGTAATTTATCTCTTCACACCTCCTTCACCCCCTGGTAACCGTAAGTTTGTTTTTTCTATGTCTGTGAGTCTGTTTCTGTTTTGTAAATGAGTTCATGAGTGTCTTTTTAGATTCCACATACAAGCGATATCATACAGTATTTTTCTTTTTCAAATAAAGTTATATTTTTTAAATACAATTTTCCTTTTTCAAAGGAAACTACTAAAGTTCTTTGTGATAACTGTATATTTCTGTAGTTAAGCAAGAGAAATATTCTTGTCTTTGAAATAAGTATTAAAACTAACATGCAAATTAAGAAAATCAGTTGAAACTCACTTAACATAAAAGTGACACTGTCACATAGGTGAAGGTTGCATTTTCTTTTCATCCCTTCAGAGGTGTTTATGGAAGGAGAATGTCAATGTTGAGGGAATCTAAATTTTGTAATTATTTGAAGTAGTTACTTTGACAGAATGCAGTACAATGCATATTGACTTAATTTTTGTGTACTTGATTTTAATAAAATCTAGCTTAAAGTGGGGAGGGCATTATCACAAGAGTTGGCAAACTGTTTCTGTAAAGAACCAGATAGCAAATATTTTAGGTTTTGTGAGCTGTATGTTCTCCATCACAAGTACTGAACTCTGCCCTTGTGGCATAAAGCAGTCATATTGAGTATGGAGACAAACACAAAGGATGTGTTTCAGTAAAACTTCATTTACAAAAGCAGACAACACACTGGATGTGGACCGTGTTTTCTCATCCCCATACTATAAGGAAATAGAGAAATGCTGCAGTATTTTTTTTCCAATTTTCATATTCTTATCTCATTTTAAAAAGCATAAAATACAATAAATTACTCAAATACAAAATGGCAGAAGCATTGCTGTATGGGTAACATCTGAAGCTTCTGAAACGAAACTGTTGTCATTATTTGATTGCTCAAAAAAGTTCACCAGCTGGTATAAGACAGTTCAGATTTTATGTATTAAACGAAGCTTAGGAATTTCATTATGAAATTACGGAAGTGCAAGATGTTTGAAAGATAACTATGAAAAGGGTCACAACCTGCACTTATGATTATGGCTTCATCACGACATCATCAGGACGTCAGTAGGTTATACTTGAGGAGTAGATTTCTGGAGTCTTTTTTTTTCTTTTTAATTCTATTTTCTATTTTTATTTTTTTAAAGGAAGATTTCTTTTTTGCCTTTTGTATCTATTTTATAATTAAAATCTAACATTTTATGCAGCTTATTAATGTATCACTTCCCTAGCCAGCAAAGTGTTATTTTAAAATTTTGTCAGTTATCTGCTAAATGTCTCCCTTGAGTATGTCAGATTTTCCTTTACTTGATTTGCTATGTTTACTATAGAAGATCATTGTGAAGGACCCACATCATGTGGTGGCATTGCTAAATAGGTAATTAACGTATGTACAGATTTAAAACTTTGTTTTTATAGAAAAACCATCTATTTCATATTTCAGTTGAAGTAATTTTTTCATCCACAGTTTTGTGACTATAATTTAAATGTGTTTATGGAGAAAAACAATCTGTTTATTCATCAGTTACAATAACTTAATAGCCAGCTGTTAAAGAACACTTGATGTAATCAAAATGGGGGAGGAATGTGATCTTTTTAACTTTTCAGCTACAGCTTCAAAGAGTTAAAAGGGAATTAATGAATTTAGTGTCCCTGTAATAACTCAGTGCCCTGTAATTAGAAGAATGGTATGGATAGCCTCATGATAGTTCCTCACTCTGATCCGTCTGTGTCATAGATTCTGTGTTAGTGCATTCACCAAAATAGAGTACGAAGCCTGAAAGCTCTGATAACCGGACTTGTTTCTTCCTCTGTCTCGTCTTTTCTTCTGTGAAAAGGAACCAGGCGTCTTCATGCCACTTTCAGTATGTCTCATTCTGGGGAGCAGTGGTATCCCAAAAGGACACACTGGGCCAGCAGTTCATAAGTCTTACCAGAATTCAGACCTCTGCCGCAGATTTTCTCACTTGTCGGGTTTTATGCGTAGAGACTTCTGAACCCTGAATGAAAACCTTTATTTCTCCTGTGAATATCCAGACACCTAATGAAAAGGAACAGGCATATAAATCACAGATTTGGAACAAGGCGACCTGTCGTGTGTCAAGTGAGCCTTGGAGCAGGGTAGAGGGATTGTGAGTCTTTGGATGGGGATCGGGGTTAGTCTGGCTTATGGGAAACAGGTCTTTTGTATTTAAGAATCTTTTCTAAAAATTGTGAACCGAGGATCTTGGGAAACAAACTGCGGTTTTGACCAGCATCAACTCTCTGTAGAACTACAGGATAGTTACTAGATGGATCTTGTTTCCTGCACTTGGAAATATAAATAGAATGTTTTATATTTTTCTCCCTGGGAATGGGGATACATGAGGAGGTCAAGAGGAGCAAAAAGAAATCGCTTTTAAATTTGGCGAACGGATTAATACACCCCCCCCTCGCATTTTTTGATCAGTGGTCTTCAGTGAGTGTGCAAGGTGTTGGGAAGTGGAGAGCAGGTGAAGCATCAGTGTGACCTCTAAAGGCAACAGTAAGTCTTATTTAAGGAGCTTGAAGAGAAAAGGGCTCTGGGTATAAATCTCCACCAGGCAGGGTTCTCCAGAGAAGCAGAACCAATAGTATACATGTGGATTTCTATCAGAGGAGGTGTGCTATAGGAACTGTCCCCTGCAGTCCTGGGGGCTGAGCTGTCCCACGATCTGCCCTCTGCAAGCTGGACACCAGGAAAGCCGATAGCATGGTTCAGTCCAGGTCAGAGGCCTGAGAACTGGGGAGTCTGATGGTATAAAGCCCAAGAACCAGGAGAGCTGTCGCCCTGGGGTGGGAGACAGGGGTGTCTCAGCTCCAGCTGATAGTGAATTTGCTCTTCCTCTGCCTTTCTGTTCTGTCGAGGACCTCTTGGTGATGCTCACCCCCAACTAGGGAGGGCAGTCTTTACACAGTCTGCTGATTCAGAGGCTCGTCTCTTCTGGAGACAGCCTCACGGACACCCAGAAGATGTCTTACCATCTGGGCACCCCCTTAGCCCAGTCAAATTGACACATGACGTTAATCATCACAATACCCAGAAGAATTGAAAGCAGGGAATCCCACAGATAACTTGTATGTCCACATTCATAGCAGCATTATTCATGGTAGCCAAAAGGTGGAAGCAACCCAAGTTCCATCAACAGATGAATAGATAAACAAAATGTGGCATGTACAACAGGATGTTTATTCAGCCTTAAAAAGAAGTAAATTCTGACACTTGCTACAGCATGGGTGAATCTTGAGACTGTTAACGTTAAATGAAATAAGCCAGTCACAAAAGGAGAAATACTGTATGATTCCACTTGTACGAGGCACTAGAGTTGTCAGATTCATAGAAATAGAAAATGGAATGCTGGTTGCTGGGGGCTGGGGGAGAGGGGAGAGGTGAGCTCTTGTGTAATGAGTACAGAGTTTCAGTTTTGCACGGTTAAAAAAGTTCTGGAGATGGTTGGTGGTGATGGTTGCAAAGAGAGAAAGGCTGGGAATGATGACCTAATGTCCAGAGTCTTCAGCTTGTGAAACCTCAGGA